TAATAATAATAATAATAATAATAATAATAATAATAATAATAATAATAGAAGCGGTTGTTTTGATACCTAAGACAGATGCCGTATCGAACTTTCGACCAGGTTAAAATGTCTTATAAATCATATGAGATTTTTTCGTCTAACCAAAATTGTTCTATCGACATTTTCAAGCAACAACTAAGAGAACATGAACATTTCAACTTTTTATAATTATCTTTAAAAGATTATACATTTTTTTAGCGATCAATAACATAAGCAATATGTGAAAAACGTCGTGTCTCTACGATTGTCATTTTTTGAGTTAAAACGAAAACAAACGATTTGATTTTGTCGAAAACCAATATGCCGTACATTTTGTCACGTTTTCGTAACTTTCCGTTAGTCTTTCAAAATTGTTAAGTAAACTGTTGGGTATATCTTACGGTGACCCGCCTTCAAAGTAACAACTAAACAATATATACTGTTAGACATTTTTTATGGTTATGATGGTCGGAGAAACCATTCCAGATGAAATCGTGTATAGTTAAAAAAAAAAAAAATCACGCATGACAAATAATTTGAGATTATTAGTGGTTTGAGTTCGAATCTCGGTTGAAATTTTAAGGTATTTACAATTTTTTTCTCCATTTTTCCCAATTATTCGGTAAACTGTTGAGATATTCCTAAAAGTTCCAACTAGAACCCCATTTCCTACTTTTATTTTGTGATGATCGGAGTAATGTAATCCGTGGTTGAAACCGTGTACAGACATAAAAAACACACGTAATGGTAAAACCAATACATTCCTTTTTTATAATAAGAACACTATTTATGTAATTTATAAATACACATAAACGATAAGTTAGGTAGGGACAGAAACTCTTATACGTTGAAAGACGCATTTTCAGATATAGGTAATATCCCTACCTAACTTATCGTTTATGTCTGAAGACAAAGAAAGCAATAGATTTTTGGTTCAATACTAATCAATTTATTTACATTTGAGAATTTGACACTATTATACCAATCAAACCGTGAAAATTGGAAAAATCGTGTGGTGGTGGAAACCTTATATAAATGGATTTTTCACTTTTTCTTGCAAGTAGTTTGAATATTGTGACTGAAGATACAACATCTGGACTAAATACTCATTGAGAAAAATAACAAGACAAATTGAAATTATGAACACAAAACAGGTATTTTTATTTTCAAATTAACTAAGTACTTATTCCTACTGCATCGTCAATACTGATATATAATATTATGTGAAATATAAAATTTAGCTATTTCATACTATAGTAGTTGTCAATGTTTTGCTATTGATGGATTTAAATGTTATTCTTCTATGTATACTTATTTAATTAATTTTTTATTTAGCGGTAAAGGTTTCAGTTACATAGACTTCTATCTTATAACTTAATTATATTTGTATAAATATAAAACTGATGATCTGCAATTTGAATGTTATCTAGAATCTATAAATCGTTGTAGAAATTGTGGAAAAATGAATTTTATTTATATGTATAAAATATAGATTTATTGTTGACTATCGAGGTAACTATTTTTATTAAGGTTATTAGGTTAGGTTAGGTTAGTTAATTGTATATTTATTGTTTTTGGGCACAGTCATGCTTTTTTTTTTTTTTGCTAAAAAAATACAACTTGACGAAATGTAAGACATGCTAATAAAATTACTGTAATAATAATTAATAACTTTTTTCATCCGTGTTGCTTAAGTACCAAATATATGAAACCGGTTTTGAGGATGGTGCTATTTAAGGATTTCAATGGCTTTAAACCTCCGAACAACACAAATCATTTTCTTAAAAAACTATGTAAAAATTGGTCCAGTAGTTTTTGAGTCAATTAATCTCAAATATGCCACCATTCATTAACATACATGCATATATTTATTTTTTGAAATTATTTATCTGAATTGGCTTTTATTCAATTGAAAAAAAAATTTTTTTATCATTCTTTTAGTAATTACATAGGTTACTTAAATAACCTTGTACTTGATCATTATAATATAAGTATATGTTTAAATTTATATTTCAAGTTATTAGTTACTATTTTATTATTTTTACTAATTTTCTACTAATTTATAGGAAATTAGTTTTTTTTTATAATCATGATTATACAGTTTGTTTATTTTTTAATTTGATCAGTTTGTGTTTACTACATCACATCATAACAACATATTGAAATTGTACTATAGATATAATACTAACAATAACTAATTTGTATTATGATACCGTATAATTATATATGTAATTATATATGCAATAGGAACTACAATTTCTTTAATTAATAATGTTTCACAATGTTAATTATTGGAGATCTAAGAATTAATAAAATTATTTCTATTACAATTTAAAATTTTGTAGCCAGTAATATAATAATCATAATATTCATATAAAAATAATAGATTTAAGTAGATTTTTATGGGATACCTAATAATAATTATAAAAAATAAACACAAAACCAATTCATGTTGTTTTTTGATGCTTAAAAGTTTTATTTAAACACGTTGGTTTTATTTTGATAATTTCAATAGTTCGATATACGAATAGAATATAAATAAAAACTACTAAAAACTAACTTTCAAGGGAATTTGAAATCTATTAGTAAAATATTTTAAAATATTTCAAAGATATACAAGCATAAAAAAAATTATATTTTGTAATCCATATACTTGCATCTCTATATTGTCTATGAAGGTTAGACAATTTATGTACCATAAGTCATAAATAGTATCCTTTTATTACTAAAACACATATATAATATGATAATTGATTAATCGGTTTTTTTATTTTTCAGATATTTTTTGTTTTTTTTGTTGTATCTATGTTAACTACAGCATACTCTAGAACTTTGAAGAAACGTGATTTACAAGAAGTTGAAGACAACGAGGCATTGTATACTTCACATGGTAATTATGGTGGCGGTGGTGATCATGGACACGCAACATCTTACCAGAGCTATGTCTTACACGCTTTCCACCCATCTAAATTCCATGTTAAAGAACACTGAAGATCATAGATTTCTAGAGTAACTAAATACTTTAATTTTACAGGAATTAAGACCTTCTATAGTCTAGCTATTAAAGAGCTATATTAGCTATAAAGCTAATTGTATTGGATATATTTTAAATGTGCATTAATTTTTTCTATTTTTTATTCACATATAATAAAGGATATTGAATTATAAGATGAATAGAAATAATTATTACATAGTGTATATTATCCTCATCAAAATATTACATATAATAAAATATCCTTTATGAATTAAATTAGAAACTATTATATTAATAATTTACAATAAAGTTTTAAATACATTAATTGCAATATTAATATTCAAACGTGTTTATATAAGAGAAAAAATGTTTTTGTATATTATTTCAATAAAATTATAATTAATAATTTTGAACTTATTTGTAAAATTCATGTTCAGATTCATCCTTTTTTATGTTGTTTTTGTATCCTTTTTCAAAATCTTTTGGTAGTACAATGTAACGATTTTCTCGAACAGCATGCATTCCAGCCTAAAAATGCAATACAAGTTTTTTAGATTAAACAATATTCAAATGAAAGTATGAAATTATATTACTCAAACAACATTTTGATGGAATATCTTTTAATATATATTTAATATACATTTTTAAACATGAAAATATTCTAAACAATTACAAAATGTTTGTTTTTGTATTTAATTGAAATAAAACTTGGAATGTAAATATTACCTCTTGACAAATTGCATTAATATCAGCTCCAGAAATCCTGTCTGGTCTAGCAACATAATCTTCTAAATCAACTTCTTCACTTAAATTCATTTTAGCAGTTATAGTAGAAAATACTAAACGTTTTTGTCTACGATCAGGTAAAGGAAATTCAATTTTTCGATCTAAACGACCAGGCCGTAATAAAGCTGGATCCAAAGTATCAGCTCGATTAGTAGCCATTATCACTTTAACATTAGTTGTTTGATCAAAACCATCCATTTGATTAAGCAATTCAAGTAATATACGTTGAACTTCACGATCAGCACCAGTTTGAGCATCAAATCGTTTAGTAGCAATAGCATCAATTTCATCAATAAATATTATAGCAGGTGAATTTTCCTTAGCTAAACGGAAGACATCACGCACCATACGTGGACCTTCTCCTAAATATTTTTGAACAAACTCTGAACCAACAACACGAATAAAAGCAGCTGAAAAATAAAATAGAAATAATATTACATACTGACAACCTAAATTTCAGTTTAATAAATATATATAGGTATAAACAAAATACTATTGGTTTTATAATTTATTAATTTAATCGTAATATTAAAAAATATCATAGCAAATGTATTAGAATGATTTTACAAGACATATAACATTAAAAAAAAACTATTTGTTATTATTATCAAAAAGGCATAAAATAAATATTTATTTCTTTTTTTTACTAAAGAAATATTTTTGTAGTGAAAAAAAGATCAAAAAAAAAAAAAAGATGGTTGGATATGATTGAGAATGAGCGCTGTTAGTATGTGCGCAGGGGATTATAGGAAATCAAGATGAGTGGAGGTGTAAGACAAAGGTGGCTGACTCAAAATAGTAGAGAGAAAGGCGAAGGAGAATAAGAGATATTTTTGTAAAATATTATATAGAATTATATACAATAAATACATATTATTTAGATATTATTAGAAATATTTGTCATTTTACAATATAAAATATCATTAATCATTAGGACAAAGGATTTGAAAATATAAACAAAATTTCTTATATTTTATTGGTACAGAACAATAATATATTAAGTTTTGGTGTAAAGGCCACTTAACTAACACTAAGGCTTGTAACTTTTAAACTGAAACAATATAGATAAATATATCAAAGAATATATTTCAGTATAAAGTGGGTAAATAAAAAGTATACAGTATAAAAAATAATAATAACATTTTACATTTTTTTTTCATAGTTTTTATGAAAGTAAAATATTTGTCTTTGGCTTGCCATAGAAAAAAAGTAAAGCATTCTGGCATGTAGTACTGACTATATATATATATATATCATGATTGAATAAAAAATCCAGAAAAAAAATTTAATTTCTTATAATTTAAAATATTAATAAATTGTTATTCATATAATCATTAAGTATATAATTACCAGTAGTGTGATGAGCTACAGCTTTTGCCAACATAGTTTTACCACACCCTGGTGGACCATACATTAGAACTCCCCGAGGTGGATCAATACCAATCTGCTTATATAGTTCAAAATGTGTCAGAGGTAATTCAACAGCTTCTCGAATTTCTTGTTTTTGCATATCCATACCTCCAATATCAGCATACTGGATATCAGGTTTTTCATCTATGATTATACAATTGTTTTTATTAATACCCCATAAAAAAAATATATATATATCACTAACCAGCCTGAAGCATTGATATAGAAGAATCTGCTTCGGGGGGTAATACATCAACTAAAGCATTGCTATGTTTATGTAATGCAACACTAGCAGATGGTTTGAGTAATTCACGGTCAATGGTAGATAAAATACGAACATAATAATTTGACCCAGTAGTACTCCCAACAATACCAGTATTTTGATCTACCGCTTCTAAAAATTGACCTATTACAAGTGGTACACTTTGAATACGTTTGACTTCTTCTTGGGCATGTAAATATTCTTTTTTTAAATTCCGTTGTTCATCTTTAATATATTCTTCTTGCACAGTCAAAAATTCTAGATACCTTTGTAAACGCTAAATATTCCAAAAAGATAATTAAATACAAACTATTTTAATTTGATATTTAAATTGATATACTGTAATTTTATTATTTACCTTGTATCTAGAATAATGATCTAAACTGTCTAAACATGCTTCTACATTGTTTAAATTAGGAAGAGTTGGTTTAGCATCTTGACTATCATCCTGTAAAAAAATTTAAGTATGACAATTTCAATCAATATATATAATGTTCATGGTTTGTAACTTAAAGCATTTGCATATTTTTATTTTTTATTTTAAAATATAGCAGTGAACGAAATAAATTAATTTTTTGATGCTATGACCTCAAATCAAAAATTTGAATACACATATTTTTGCAAATTTCAAACGTTTTACAGGAAAGTGTTTATATTTGTACTTATTTTGCATATATTGACAAATTATTAAAATTTAAAAATTAAAAGCTATATTAATTTCAATATACAACTCATAGCTTGTAAAATGTTCATCTTGGAAAAATATCTGATTACATCAGTTATATCGAACAATGTAATTGTAAAACGTTCACGTGAAAATAAAAGATTCCAAATATAGTTCGAATACTTGATAGTCAATAGTAGTAGTTATTTAATAATTCAAAAACAATTAAAAAATTGGGAGAGTAACTAAATATTTTGATAAATTGATTAATTTATAAACAAGTTCATAATTATTTATTGAATATTCAATGTAGGTAATACTAATTAATAATGAATATATTAAATGTATATTTTTAGATAGTTTAGTATATATTTAAGTGTTTATTGTAGTTTTAAGTCCCAAACCCTGATAACGTTAAGTATATAATTAATAATTCTTATTTGTAAAACATCAAACGTATCAACTGAAGTATATAAATGATATGAGGTGATTTTATTAAATCAAATCGTCAAGTAATGTCCTCATTTGGGGCTATATGCACGAAAAGGTTAAATACTAAGTTCATAGATCTTATGATCATTAAATCAAAAATTTTAAAATACATGTTTAATAATATTACCTAATAATAACTATAACTATATCTGATCCCTAATTGTACCCAATATATTATATAGTTTAAACAATTATTGAATATTATTAGCTATAGGTATATTTATGATACATGAATAAATTAAGTACAATGAATCAACACATCAACGGGTTATATTGAAAACATTGGTCAAGAAACAAGTGAAGCCGTTTTTAATATACTTAATATAAATGTTGAAACATATAAAATGACACTTAGATTTAGTCTTGTCACAATAATTAATGCAAGCATTACAAATTGAAACAATTAATTACTTACCCTTTCCGGCAACACGATACCGATTTCTTCCATGGTTAATTCTAGTTATCGAACGGGTGAGTAGAATGACTTAAAATTTTCACAGGTAACTGAAATAATGGTCGAAAATTTTGTATCCGTTTGCTCGGTGCTTCGATGTTGTTTTGTCTTGCTTCTATTATCAAAATGATTAATCACAATTTTAATGATAATCCAAACATAATCTTATAACCTCAAAACGCGAGTCGCAGTGTGACCAACGGTACTACGACATTGGTCCGGTTTGCGAACGCAACGCAAACCGTGCACACCGACCACGGTTTCCGGTGGTACCGTACCACAGCAACCGATAGATTACGAGACGAGGCAAATTCAAAGTTTACGCCGCCGTCGACGCTCGCAAACAACGGACGGTTGACCAATCGTTCCGACGACCAGCTGCTAATCGCGGTGGCTGGTTAATGAGGCGTGCATGTTCGTTAGTGTGTGTGTGTGTGTGTGTGTGTGTGTCGTTTGCTGTCGTTACGTCAAAGAATGACGTTTGCACCGTTCATCGACTACAACGAATCCAACGTAGTCTTTTAAACATTGTACGAGTTACAATATTTTTCATCGCAATCGTACCATTTGTTATTTGTAAGCGCCCGTGAGCCCGTTTATCAGATGTGATTCCAGTCCGCGGAACTTCACTCAACGTAAGTTTACATCCATATACGCATCCGCAGGCACGTACGCGATTTTCAGTTATTTGACGAGAAAGACGTAGGTACGCGATGGAGTGGACGGCCGATGTTTTTCGGCTCGGCGAATACAAACCTTAGCGGCTCACGATGACCTATTGAAAGCGGAAGAATTGCGATATTCCGCAAAAAATAAAAATTATATAAAAAAAAAAAAAGTTGTCCTCGCAAAGATCGGCCAAGAAACTTTACCCGTATAATACCCGTTATGCCGATCACCTTCCAGGTGCACGTGTGTACAATACGTGGTGCATATTATACACATACTTGTAATTACATTTCGTCCTGGTGAGAAAAAAGTGTTCCGGACATTTTATTCGGATAATCTGTCTAAAACCATAGACCCGTCTGAAACGGAATAAGTCTCTGACCGGGGTCTAATACCGTGGATACTATAGTTATCATTGCGTACTTACCTTGATTACATATACATGTATGTTCAATCAACGGTACTTATTCTAAACACTGAACTGTATTTTGTGAAATTTAAAAGTACGCAGCAAACATATTTTTATTTATTGAAACATTATTGAAATATACAACGTGGAATTCGCTATGGAGTTCGCTAACCTACAGGTTAGAATATTTATTTCATATTAGGAATTAAAAAGAGTTGCTTGGAATGGACTCTTTATTGGAATTATAAAAACGGTCACTTAAATTTGCGAAAATCGTAAAATTATATATATAAGTATATATTTAATACCTTATAATTCAAAATGAAAATCACTTTTCATTATTGTTGTTTATGTTTGTCTGTGTACATTTAGGCTACAAGTCTACAGTATTTTATTTAAAATATAGCGTTTAGAACGAAAAATTGAAAATTTTAAACCCTGCCTAGATTGAAATTCCATCTTCACTGTGCAGTAAAAATACTAATAAATAATTGTCGGTATTCCGCAAGTGATTGACTGGGTGTTATCCATTTGCGCCAAGAAAAATCAATTCGTTTTGGATACAGTCCATTTCTATCAAAATAAAAAAGGTATGTTATTTCCGACAGCTTACATACTTGCATTAATATTTCATATTTATTACTTGATTTAATTAGTTTACTTTAAATGTCATGTCTTTAACGTACAATAAAGTTATTTTTATAATTCTGAAAACAAAAAATTAACGTGTTATGAATAAATACAGATGGTTGAATTTAATTACAATAAAGATTTTCATGATTTGAAAATTTTTATTTATATTTTGTTATGATAAATTTATTATAATTATTTTGATTAATTATATATTATATTTATTGCCTTATTATAACTATAGCAGTTAAATTTTTGCAAATGGACTGATGAAAAAAAACATATTTTTTTTATTTTGGCGCAAATGGGCTGTACCCATAAAAAATGAATTTTTTTTAGCGTAAACCGGCGATGTCTGATTGTCTATAGTTATTCTTGAATGTATTTTTACTGTAAATAATTTTGTTTTTAGCGCTATATTACTTTTAAATTTGGTATACTTTAGTGTAGTTTTTTTAAAATAAATTGTACACATATATTTTTACATATATTCTGTAGGTATATAGTGATATGATTATGTAGCACGTCACGCGTGGATACCATTTTAATGAGTTTTCGTTGGTTAATAACTTAATCGTTTTGATAATATAATATGTGCTGTTGAATGTTATGCAACTATATGTGATCATCTTTGACAAAATTTGTGGTCGTAAATATATAATACTGCAGTATGATTTTGGTGGTGAATGGTTTCTTTGAATATTAATATATATATTTAAGTGATAATTTATTAATATAAATAAATTTATTGAATTCGAAACTATTATTGAGTATTTTTATTTTATTAGAAAAGATTGTTAATAAAAAAAAAAAATTATTATTATGAATTTCATACTACCTACAAAATGTTATCAATCTTAGAATATGAAAAGTACAATTAATTAAATTCTGAGTACAAAATTGAGTTTGTTACATACATTTATTTAAATAATGAACTATTAGATTTAACTATAACAATTACTTATAGTATTTTAAAAAATATTATGTATCGTATATTATATTAATTTATATTTACTATTGATTGTAATAAATTATGATAAAATTGGGTTATTTCATAAATGCATCAGTTATTTTGTATGGTTGAAATGTGAATTTATCCAGTAAATTGTTTGTTATACCCACTCAATTGTTCTTGTTCAATTACGCTTTAGTAATACTTGTCAGTTGTTCAATTTAATAATTGAAACAAAATTTTTAAACTATATTTTTCATTACTGAGTAATGTGTGTTTATAAAATAATAGTTTGAAATTTGAAGGCATTAAAATTCCAAAATATTATGTTTTAATTTTGTAAAATATACCTAATTCCTTAAAATAATATTTAATAAATTATTTATATAATTTTGTAAGTCTTGACTCTAAAATTACATTTTTTTTAACGAATATTTCTATTGAGATACAGTCAGAATAAAAACTAAATAATATTAGATAAAATAATATTTTTATTTAAATAAATTAAAATTAAAATACTATGTAGGCATTATTTTAGTTATAAGATATTAGTTCACAGTGCATTTCAAATAGCATGCGTATAATATATTAAGCTATATATGACTTTTTAAATTGCTTGTAAAAATATATTTTATAATTTACTAGGTATATAAATAAAAAATATATTTTTCCTTTTTTTCTCTATTTTATTACATAAATTAATTCTTAATCATAGCTTATGAGTATTATCCAAATATTGATTTTTCCTTTTACTTCTGGTATACTCTGCTGTCTTCGTAATAATTGCTGTCTTACAATAATTAACGACCGAAAAAAATTACTTATACTATCAGTTATCATTACTTTTAATGAAGAACCGATAATTTAAAGTGATACTACTATTCAAAGAGTTTTATAGAATGTAGAATATAGTGTATAGGATAAATGTAACCAATACTCACTTGTAAATATTTTCACGTACTATTGGTGATAAGAATGGTGTTTTGATGGATAAAGCCTTGATAATATATATAATAATCGGGTTCATAGTTAGTAATTTTCGATGGAAGTGATTTTTTTCAATTTTTTTTTTTTTTTTTTTTTTTTATCATACATTTAATAACAATAAATATGAAGTGTATTAAATTTGAAAACATATACGTTTTATGATAATCAGATATTAAAAATTCAATGCTAATATATTTAAATAAGAGTGATTTGTAAGTAGTTTTATATTATATATATATATATATATATATAGTGTTATATAATAGACTTACCGAAAAAATGTCAAGTATTTATATGGTTTTATTTATTTTTCTATTGTAGAAAAATTATGTCATATTGTAAGCTATACTTTTTAAAAATAAATTTCAAGTTAACTTTGTTGGCTTGAAAATTATTCATTAAAATAATACAACTTTAATTGCATATAATTTATTATATTGTATATTATATTAAGAAGATAGAGTTAAAAGAATATTTGTTGAAATCTAAGGAATTATATAAGAATAAAATAATTAACAACCACAAAAATAAAATAAAATTAATAATGAAAAAAAAAATGATGACATTAAAATTAATATAAATTTTAAATATAATAAAATAAAATCTATTAAATTCCATCAATTTTTTTTTTTAAATTTTTAAAGGTCTTAGTGTTTTATTAGTGATAAGAAAATACAATGAAATTCTAAAATTACCCATTTTAGGTTCAATTTTCTTTCATAACTATGTGACTTCAACACCTAGTATCATTCTCCTATGTTGACGGTCAAGAAAGTTGGGTGTTAAATAAGGACTCAACTTCTTAACTTACTTTAGAAAAAATTATTATTTTGTCAGTATATTTTCAAAGGAATGCCTTATTAGTTATTCTATGAGCTTAATTAATGTACTCGATATTTTTCTCATAAATTCTTCCACGTAAAAAATTGATGGGTCTTCTTATTTTTCTTCTCCTTTGTCTTTCTCTCAACTATTTGGGGTTAGCCACCTTTGTTCTATATCTCCATTCGTCTCGATTTTCTACATCTTACATATTCGTTCCTTATTCTATCTTCAATTGTCACTCCACTCATCCACCTAAGCATTCTCATTTCCGTAACACTCATACTCTGTTCTATTTTTCTGTCAACCACCAAACACTTTGAACCATATAGCATAGTTGGTTTCACTACACTCATATAAAATTTACCTTTCAGCTTCATTGGAATTCTCTTATCACATAAAACGCCCGATGCTTCTTTTCATTTCACCCAACTGTACTTAATCCTATATTTTACAACCATGCCAAAGACTCCGTCCTTTTGTACAAATGATCCTAAATATTTAAATTTCTTGACTTCACCCATCTAATCACTGCTTAATGTATCCTCATACCCTCAACTTCTTGGTATCTTCCTCCTAAGTCTTATTCTATATAGGTACTATGTTTTATTTCTATCAATTCTCAATCTCTGTATTTTTTAGGGCTAACCTCCATTCATCCAACCTATTATTAACTTCTTCCAGATTTTTTCCAACAAAAACTATATCATAAGTAAACATCATTCACCATGATATCTCACCCGGGTATGTCTTTCGTAACTTCATCCATTGCCACAGAGAATAAATAAGGTCATAGAGCCGACCTCTGATGCTCACCAGCATAATAATACGTTAAAATCTTTTGTTATTCTACACAAACACTTTACATTAGTTCTCGAGAATTCATACATATTCTGAATCAAATTTATATATATTTTTGGGATTTTTGCTCATGTAAATAAAAATTAAATTATAATTACCTATCTAAAAATATATTATAGGGATGAATATGATTGTAAAAACTAAATATGAATTGTGTAATTTCATTTTAATATTATTTGACAACCTATGTCATATATGTTTATTATAGTTATGTTTTCCATTTCATATGATATTTTTAAGTATATTAGTTATATAAGCTTTTAATTTAATTTAATTGTAAAAAATTACTTGACAAATAGTAATCTTCACTTCAAAATACTTATATTATTTATTATTATAACAATAGAAGTGTAATAAATTATTTTACTAATTACCATTAAGACTACTAATTTTTTTTTTTTTTTGTATTTAAAGCATTAAATTAATTAATTTAATTTTCACAATTTATGTTTTAATATTTTTATTGAAATGCTATAACAGTAAATGCTATACAAACTTTATATATATATTTTTTTTGATTCGAGTTATGTATCAAACAAAATATATTTATGATTTTATAGTAAAAATATAAATTCGATTTCTAATAATAAATAATATATTGGGGATCTTTAAATAATATTTTAATACATCTTTAAAATGTATTGTTATTTATAGAATAATTTCACGGGAGAGGTTATAATCTAAAAACTTCACCAGCATTCATAATAATAACATTATTTTTAATTAATTGAATGACAGTGATTAAATATTTATGAATCGATAGTGAATAGTTGAGAATAAAAGAAACACATCTTTAACTATTGTTAATGTTTGTTATGCGTGTGTGAACAACTATAATATATTTTTAGTATAAAAATTTAATTTATAATATTTTTGAATGAAATATGTAAAATCGTGTTAATTTCAGAAATTTCATTATGGAACCTTGGGAAAAGGTGTGCATACACGTATCTATGTATGCTATCCTCCGAGAGATGCGACCTATAGATCCATTTTACGTAAAGTATCTGTCACAACTTCCGAAACAAATTACCGAGGAAACAGTAAGTATATAACAATTTAAGAATAAGATTAAGATAAGTTTGAATATAGTTACACAAAAATCATATTTCAAAAAAGATAATCGGTATGAATATATTATTTGAATTATATATTACAAAAAATGTATGTGTATTGGATATCAAATTGTTTTAGATAGGTACTCATGAAAAATTATGTTGATCGTACTACTGATTGTTACATTTTATAATATCTTAAATATTGCAATCTATTTTTTTTTGTGAGGTACATAATAGGTATAATCTTTAAAAATGATTTACATTTTTTAACATTGATACTGTTGATTTCTATATTATTATTAAAAATAAATACAAAATTCATTAAAAAATACTTATATTATGTAAGTTTTTAATACATTTAATTTGCTCATAGATGTATGTTATAATTAGAGAACGGATTTTAATTTAAATAAATATTTTTATGTAGTTTTAATATCGGGAAGTTTTTAACATATGTGTACGTTTCATTTCATTTTGAATGAACTGATGCCAATTTAATTTTAAATATTTTTAAATATTTTATAAATAAATAAATAATAATGAAATATTTTACTAATAAATATACGTAATCTGTAATATTATAGAATTTTCGTTTTTATTTTAGTATTTTACGATGGACGAAAATATATGATTAAGTCTGTACAATATCTTATCTAGGAAGTAGGTACAAATTTCAAAAAACTTGCAAAACTATTTAGCACTTATTTCCGCTAATTTTGGAATTTTAGTTGGTACTATTTTAAAACTAGAATTTTTATTTTTGTATTATGTATTACATATAAATTATATTGAATTATATTTTATTTTTAATTTCAATATTTCAATATTATAAATAAACATTTATGAGGTAATAAACAAATATATATTTAAATATTTTTAATTTTTTACTAAATTTAAATCCATTCCCTAGTTATAATCAACATAAAAATAAACTGAATATTAATTTTTATTAAATCATTTTTAGTTACATTTATTATTTTAGTTACAGTAAATTATTTTAATTTTATAAATAATGATTATGTGGTTAAAAGTTATAATTATATTTAATAATTTAGTTATCAGGCATGAAATTAACTAATATTGTTTAAAATACTTTTTAAAAATTTATTATAACGAATTCATCAATAACTGAATGACAATCATCAATTTTATGACTTTGTTATCTATGGCTATAATGTACTATTATTTAATATTAAAATATTATTAGATAAATACAAACTGTAATTATAAACGATTAATTTATAATGATTATATTACATATAAATTCAAAAATACACATCATTATTAAATTATAGGTATAAATTAATAATAAATGGTAAATAGTTGTTAAAATATGGATTATTTTTTCAATTCATATTTGGATATTAAAATGTATAAAATATTTTATTTTAAATTTTATTCATACGCATTAGCTTTTAAATTATTGTTATTAAATTTTAATAGGTATTTGATTTGTTTTTATATTTGTTACATAGCATATGATTAAACAAGAAGCATTATTAGTGCATTAAAAAAAAATGTTTTAAAAAGTAGTTTACCTAAATCGTCTGATTTAGATTTAGATTTTAGAATAAATATTTTAATATTTAAATTTTTTTTTTTTTTACATTAGTTAACTTTTAAATAAAAGGTTTTAATGATAAAATAATAATAATATCAATAATAACCAATAGTATAAATAATGTCATATATTATATTATAATTTATTATTAATAATATCAATTTATACTAAATTTATAGTAAATTTTATAATATAATAACCCCTTCTGTTTAATAATTATAAAAAAAAATAAGTAAAAAATAAAAATATTTAAAAAGGTTAATTTCTTTTATGGGTATTATTTATTTATTTTTATTTAAGTTAAAGTCTTGATATAAAGGACTGTAGGCTTGTATTACTGTATTATATATTATTATTCTTTAAAATATTTGTTTTCTTATAAATTATAATTTGGTTGGTAATTTAAATTTATTGTTTTTTGAATTTGGATTTATAAGAAATAAAAATCATTCCTATCAAATTTATTATTTTAACGATACTTAACTATAATCTAGAAAATAATAACTGAATATAGATCACAATAACTTTTGAGTTCACAAATATTTATTTTCTTTATTTAACATTATAAATGAATGAAAAAAAATAGTTAAAGTATATGTCATTTTAACTAATAAATACGAAAAACATTTATATTATATTACATTTATTTATTTCTCAACAACATAAAATCCTTCAGAACGAGAGGTTAAAACAAATTCTCTTGTACAATAATTTTTAAGCTTAAATCATTATTTCAATAACTAAAAGTTCTTTATTTATTTTTATAAATTACTTAAATACTGAAAATTATAAAATACATTATGTATATTTTGTACTGCAGCAATTGTTATTGAAATTATTTTTTTAATATAGTTATGGATTTTAGCCAATTAACTTTTTGGATGACTATAAATAATTATATCATATATAATTATATTATAACGAATTAAAATGCAAGATAAGTTGTATAATACATGAACGATTAAATTCTTCAATTAATTGTAGTGGAAAAATTAGTTTTTAAACATTTTAATTTAAATTATTGAGTTGAATGAATTGTTAGTAAATGGCGTGTGTAATGTATAAAACAAAGCTATTTATAATTTTTTTTTAAATCTAAACTAAAAATACTGTAATGTTGATTATGATTATTAAATATTATATTAAATAGTAATTTAATGGCTAACTTTATATTCAATCAAAGGTGTATTTAGATGATATGGGTGTTAGAACATCCCCCATCGACCATATTTTATGGTATTTCATTAAATTGCAAACTTACTTACAGTATAATATGAATAAACGTTGTATACAACTTACAGATTTGACATATACTGTTTTAATTTAATAATTTTCATTAATATAATAATTTATATAAATACATGGTATTTATAAATGTAATACGGGGGGACAGAGCCCACCACTTACCATAAGTATATTACATATTAAAACACCCCCTTTAAATGATTCCTGGATACGTCACTGTATTCAATAATTCCTATTCCATTATTAAGTCATTTAATTTTAAATTTGAATCTTTGTATTCAATTAATTATTTAATGGGAGCTTTGACAGTTAAGCGGTATATCCTAAATTATATTTAAAATGAATTATTGCTTTTTGTTTTTATTTTTTATTTATTTATTTATTTTTGTTATTTAGGTCTTTGTCAAAAACTACTGAGAAATTAAAAAAAAAATGACCCATCTAAAATACAATTCGTGATGAATTTTCAATATTTATGAAGGTACTGCATAAAAATGTTGAGCTTTTTCTTTACATAATGAGTTTTTTCTGAATAAAAAACTGGGTGAAAGTAGTAGAAGTAATAAAATCTACCTTTTATAAACTTTACCTTATCCGATTTACTTAAAATCTAAAGTTGTTTTCTAATTATATAGCTACCTAAAAAGAGCTTTTTAAATATGAATAATATTTTACACATTAGATATTTTATTGGATAGAATTTTTTTTTCCTTTATATATATATACAATCTGTTCCTAAAATGTACAATAAGAGTATTTGCTTTAAGTATATAATGTAACATGAGAATTTGATTAAAGAAGCCACCCAATGATGACACTTTTAATTTTTAATTATTATTTTAAACATTTTTTTTTTTTTTTGCTAAGTTAAAAGATCTCTATACCATTTGCGCTTTAAGCGTCTTGGAGGATTTCCAGGAATAGTATTTGTTGAAAGAGAGGCTAGACAATTGTGGAATCTGCTATAGTAAATTATTGCTTCTTCTTTAACAGATTTAATTTTCAAATCGGTGTGGAGGGTATGATTTGAAACATATGAGGGGAAGTTTGTTAGTTTTCTTAAAGCAATGTTTCGAAAAGCCTGAATTCGGCTTATATTCGACTTTTTAGCATTTCTCCAGAGTTGGAGACAGTAAGTCCAAATGGGTTTGATGAGGGATTTATACATTAGTAGTTTCATATTTAGGTTTGTGTGTTTCTTATTCACTAGTAAAGTTTTGAGCATACGAAGTCGGAGGTTTATCTGAAGTCTTTTTACACGCGTATGATGGGCCCAGGTGAGTTGGCGGTCTTGGGTTAGGCCGAGATATTTTACAATCTGAGTAGATGGAATTTGAGTATCGAAGAGAGTAACGGCTGGACAACGTCCGAGCTTAAGAGTAAAGGTTGTGTGATTTGATTTAGTTTGATTGACCTTAATCCTCCAATTATTATACCAAATCACCATAAGGGAAAGATGATTTTGCAGATTATGTGATGTGACAATGGGGTCTTCATTAGTAGATATAATAACTTTATCATCAGCATAGTCAGCCACTATTGTGAGGGGCGTGGTTAGTTGATCTGAAGTAAATATGTTATATAGAATTGAGGATAATTGCCTCCCAGTGGAACACCAGCACTGATAACAGCTAAATAAGAATATGTGGATTTAAAATTAACTTGAAAGAAGCGATCAGTTAAACATGACTTAAGGAAAGTATAATAAGTAAGAGGCAAAACTTTTTTTAGCTTGTAGAAAAGTCCTTGGTGCTATACTCAGTCGAAAGCCTATTGAATATCCAGAAAAACACAGGAAAAATATAGTGTTTTTTCAAGTACTGAAGAAACTGAGTAAACTAATCGATGCCCTTGATGGATAGTTGAGTGTTGTGCACGGAAACCAAATTGATAGTTGGGTAGAGTTTTATTTTTACTAATAAGGGGAAGCATTCGTTTCAATATGAGTCTTTCCAGAACTTCAGAGAAAAATGGTAGTAAACTAATTGGTCTATACAATATTGCTAAGTCTGGAGGCTTATTTGGCTTTGGGAAAAAAATGATTTTAGAGAACTTCCATAGGAGTGGGAAGTAGGACAGTCTGAGTATGGCATTGAATATATGAGTAAGTAGTACAATTGCGCATTTTGGTAGGTATCTAGCCACTTCCGCATTTATTAAATCGAAGCTCGGTGACTTCTTGAGACAATATTTTTGAATGGTAAATTTAATATCGCACGGTGAAAAATGTTTAACTAGGGGAGTATTTGGAAAGGGTAAATCAAAATACCTAAGTACCGCATTTGTGTTAGTAGGTGAAACGTCTTGATTAGGTTGGAAAACATTAAAAAGGTGGTTTTTAAATAGTTCGGCTTTTTCAGAGTCTGACGAAGCGTAGCTTCCATCAGATCTTTTAATAGGTGGGGTAGTAACTTTATAATGAAGTGTTTAGCCGCTTTCCAAAGACTGCCATTTTTAGTTGATAAATTAGTAAAGAAGTTTTCAAAAGAACGATTTTCACCTTTCGATAAGACTTTTTTAGGAGTGTTGGCTAATTTATTGTATATTTTTTTGTGGGAAGGTAGACAAATGCGTTGGTATATAGCTCGAGCACTTCTCTTTTCAGCTATAAGGATACGGATATTAGGCGGAAGCGAATTAGTATAATTATGTACATGTTTTTTAGCTGTGTTAGCAGATCAAGCTGCTGTTTGAATAAAATTCGTGAGGTTATTTACAGCTGTATCTATATCATCATTATATTTTAATCATATATTTATATGAAGGTTCTGATTCACAAGGTCGTGAAATTTGTGTAGGTTCGTAGAGGCGTAAAAGAGCTTTGGTGGTACAGTACTTATTGGAGGCTAGTCATGAAGGGTGAGAATGACCTATGAGTGGTCCGAGTTTAAATCCAGAATATTATTCATATCAAGGTGTATATTTTAAGGGATTTTTGTTACGAACATATCCAATATATCGGGATTTTTATGGGGGGATGATGGCCAATAAGTAGGACCTGAGGGAGCACCTTGAATTTTTTAGAATTTATGAAATTTTAGAGAACCTTTCCTCGGGGATTTTTTACCCGACAGCCCCAGCTCTGATGCTTCGCATTATAATCACCGCCTATAATAAAGTTGTTGTTTATTGTGTTGAAATAATTGTCAAAGTTCGCATGAGAGACATTATGTTTTGGAGGTGAATAAATTACAGCAACTGTGATTGGGTTGTTATTTAGATGAATTTGTATAGCACAAGATTGAAGAAAACCTTTTCAGAACTTTGGGAGGGATTGATATATTAAAGTAGATTTTACTAAGATTGCTACACCAACATGCGCTGTGTTGTCTGGGCGATTGAATTTATGGAGTTTATAACTAGGTATATGTATGTACGAGTATTGGGTAAAATAGGTTTCGGTAATTAAGGCTATATCAATACGTTTATTGTATAGTACTGATTGAAGTTCCAATGTATGATTTTTTTAATCCGTTAGTATTAAATAGTAAGATAAGTAGGGATTTATTAGTAGCAGTATTAGTCATTTTTTTTTTTATCCAATAGAGAGAAAATTACTTTAGTAAGTTGTGTTATTAGTGGATTTAACAAAGATTTAAATTCTTCTAGAAAATGAGTCATTACTTTATTCATGTTAGGTTCTGAGGAGGGAGGAGGATGAGTTGAGTGTTGGCTAGAGGTAGCCTGATCATAGGAACGAGTATTATTTGAGGGGGAATTATTTGTTGGGTGGTTAGTTTGTATATTAAATTTAGAATTATCAGATAGAAAAGCATTGTTTGAATGATGCTTCTTGCGCCGTTGAATTTCTTTGTATACCGAGCCTTTGTAGCTGGCTGGATGGTTTCCTTTACACAGAGCACACACGAGTGGAGAATCTCGAGAATTGGTGCAGTCAGATGAAAGGTGGGAATTGCCACAGCGAACGCAGTGTGATAGAAATTAAAATAAGATTTGGTGTGACCGTATTATTGACAGTTAATATACTGACTTATTTATTTAGGTTTATAGATTCCTCGAATTTAATTTTGGTGTGGAGCATAGAAGTCAGATTGTAGATATCATTTGATCGGGGGAAGGTTCGAGGTCAATGAAAAAAAAGTGGTAATGGACGCTTATGGACTTTGTGAATAACGTTTGTAACATTACGATCCTCAAAATTTCGAAGTTCCAGTTCAGATTTGATTAAGCTGATTTGCGTTGATGAGTGTAAATTTCTAATCATTACATGAGTGGGTTTGTCTTGATGGAGCTGATACTTATGATATTCTGCTTTTTGATCCTTGAGAAAGTGAATTAGTGTTCTGTATGCATCAGGAGTACTAGTTTGAATTTTTAATCGATCCGTGGAAGACTTACAAAAAAAGTTTATCTACACCAAGTATCTCAATTAGACTTGAGCATAGTTCAGGAAAGTCTAGGACACCTTTTATAAAAATTGGAGGAAGAGATTTGATAGTAGATTCTGTGTTGTTTTAATCTGCATTATTAGAACACATGTTAGGTTAGTGTTATGGTTATCGTTAATTTTGTCATTAGTATTATCAGGTGTGCTGAAAACTTTAAATCGATTTGCTGTTGCAAATAATTTTTTTTTTTGGTTGGTTGACTAGATGATTTGGGTGAGTTTGGAACTGATGAGTTTGAAAGATTTCTTTTATTCATATAAATGGTCCAATTTCCATTATCTGAGGTGTCATTTGAATTCGATTGAGTCGATGTACTGTTATTAACAATTTTAATTGGTGGTACCAATCTATTATTATTATTGTTTCGGTTGTTGTTCCTTTGATTATTGTTTTTTCATTATGACATTAGTATTTGTATATATATATACAAATATTATTATTATTGACGCGATAGCGAACAACGTGATAAGAACGACTAAGAATCTCGAGGCCACCGCGGCGGCTGCCGTAATGAAAATTCAACTGCGGTTAATGTGAAATACCGTCCAAGTAAAACTAAATAAGCGTAAATTTCGCGTTTGAAATTAATTTTAGTTAAAAGATCAAACAATCACTAGGATAATGCATTTCGGCTGGTTTACCGTATTTGTAAGTGAATAATTAATCGAAAATAAAAATAAAAAAATAATAGCACACGGAAGCACGAATACACGTGCGTGCCGGACGACCGTTATCGCAGAACTGGATAGAACTAAAATATTTATCATTTCTGTAGATTTATTTATATCTAAAGAGTATTCAATAATGTTTAAAAATAGTTTTACACTTTTTGTGTATATATTGTATGATATATAATGACTATAGATAAATTTTTTTTGTAGTTTTCTGATTTTGCTTTTGTTTTCTCTCACTTATCAATATAAAAATGGTATTATTGATTATTATTGTAATAGTATGTAGTTGAATTTGTTGAACTCTCGTAATGGTGTTAAATTAATATACCATGAAGTATAATGATGTTGAGGCATAATAAATTGTTATGAAATATTTTTATTATTATCACCTAATATATCTATGAAATAACATCATTGATGGTCCAAATAAACTTGTATTTTTTAGTACAATAATTATTATTTAAATAATTGAACTGTTTTCTAACTTTAAAAATAATTTATGATTTTAGATTGGAGAAGAAGTATATCCGATTGGTACTTATATTAATGTATTTTTCGTTGTTATTGTTTTTCTCGTAACTGATTATTTACGATACAAGCCAATTATGATCATAAATGGAATATCTGGTATTATTTATTATAGTCTACTGTTAGGGTCTCCTACTACTATGAAATTAAAAGTATGCATTCATTGTTTTAAATTTATTGTAGAATTTTGCTAAAAATTATGTATCTAATGTAACTCCCATCATCAAATGTTTTCAGATAGGTCAAGTATTTCAAGTCATTTTTAGAGCAGCTGAAGTGGCATATTACACATATATGTTTGCTCAAATTAAGAACAAAGATCAATACCAGATCGCTTATAGTAGAGTAAGAGCTTCAGTATTGGTTGGAAAATGTGGTTCTGGTCTGCTGTCTCAAGTTGTGATATCATATTTATCACCAAATCTAACTGGATACATATATTTGATTTATATAAGTATTTTTGGTAAGTCGGCATTTTTTAAAATCTTAATCTGTTTAATATTAGATTCTGAGTGAAACGAGAAATGTGTTGAGTTTTATTATAATGTGTATTATTTTTACGCGTAAAGGATTTCGACCAGAAGAATTGCTCCGACTATCAAAATTTCCAAAAGAAAATATTTTTTAGTTAGAAATTCAAAAACAACTGCAGACGTTCAACAAAATTAATATTCATTACGGGAACTTGTTAGATTGGGGTCAGTTGAAACCGAACAAGGCTATTGATTAGCTATATATTGACGTACTTGTACGAATTGCACATCAAAAAAAAAAAAATAGTATGATGTGTGATATGGCGTGTAACTCAGGTCATACTTGCCAAAATATTTAAATATAATACAATTTTTTTTTATTTACTTTTTTTTACACATTAAAATGTATTTATTATTTTATTATATTTCTGGTGTTTTACATATTTATTTAAATTAAATTATGCTTTATAATTTTTATAAGGAGGACCTTGCCGATTTTACGTATTCGGTGACAACGTTGCTGATTTCATGAAATCGGCAATTTCATAAATTCGGCGTAACATATGCACCATTCATTATAGATAGTATAACATTCAATAGCTTTTTTTGAGATATTTTAATATAATTAAAAATGTCATGCTTTTTAGATTGTTTTGTAGTATTGTAAAATATCGATAAAATAATTATAGTTAAGTAAAAAATCTTAAAAATGTAGTACAAATTTTCTCATAAATATTTCTTACGGATAATCAAAAAAATTTAGCTTATATTTAAAAAAAACGTACTAACGTTTGAATTTTAAATGTGGACAAACCATTAAAAATCACGAAAATCCTCTACATTTTAGATTTTAGAATTCATAAATATGTATACATATATATTTATACTTTTCTTCAGAACAATGTTACATTGGTTCCAAGTTTAAAGACTTATACAGTTGAGTTAACTAGTAATTAAGTTATAGTTAACGAAAAATTACTAAAATCGATTATGATTTTAATACTCAAGATTTGAAAATTAAATACCAGATTCATTACAAGTTTTGATTATATTTATTAAAAAATTGACGGAAAAGTTGCAAGAAATTATTATGAATAGTAAAAAATTTAATTTTGACAAAATGGGGTAGGTAATTTCAATGAAATTCATTCATTTTTTCTAAATGTTTATATGAACTTTATTTAAGTGATATTTTTTTGTCGAAAAAATATTAACCCTAGGTTAGTTAGGTATTTTAATTGTTATTAATATAATAATGGAGTCAAAATCTAAATTCTAAAGTAATACTTACATTATATTTTTAAATGTCTGTTTTACCAACTTAATTTTGATATTATTAGTTACTTATACTAATATAGTACACTAAATTTATATATAAAAACCAAGTCACTCAATATGCTTTGCTCGTTATTGTTTTTTGGAAATCAATAGTAGGTACATAGACTTTAAAATGTATCCATATCAATTTCACAAGTAGAATTTTAAATCTCACCCGATGTTCTGTAATTCATTATTAAATAATTAGCAATTGTGTTTTAATTTCTTTAAACTCCTAATCAGTAATAATATGTTTTTATGAAGTGAAAAAAATGTATAATCAATAATTTTATATAAAATGAAACATTTTTATATACTTGTATGGAACAACTATGATAAATTTATACTTGTATCTTAATATTTTTTCCAGGTATGGTTTTAACTACAATTTGGTCATTAATTATACCACCTGTTAAATTTAGTTTATATTTCTACAAACAGAAAGAGCCTGTTATTAATTTCGAATCAATAGATACTAAAAAAATCATTCAGAATAAAGTCATTGAACCATTTCGTGAAAATATTGACAGAACGTATACACAAGTATGTAAAGTAAATTATTATATGAAAAAATCATGTTTATAATTTAAACTGTATTTAACGTAGAATGATTTGAAAAAATTAAAATGTTCCGAAGTCATACGGAAGCTTTGGTTGGATTTCAAAGTATCCTATACAGATGTTAATTTATTGAAGTGGTCGGTCTGGTTGTCATTATCACTTTGTGGTTATATTATGGTAAATATTATTAGTTTATAATAATAAATACAACTTACGAGAAGTAATAGAATTTTTTTTTTTTTTTTTGCTGAAACTTTTTTTATTTTTATTTTTCTATAATAAAATATATCATCTATACAAATATTATATTAATTTAGATTGGACAGTATATTCAAATTCTATGGCAAAAACTTGAAAAACAAGATATTAATGCTCATTTGATGAATGCAGCAGTTGATTCACTAACTACAATACTGAGTAATATTTATATAAAATATTTATTTAGATACGTACAAAAGCCGATAAAATATTTATACAATTATAATTATTTGTTATTCATAATATTACTAATATGAAATTGATAGTTGCAATATAATTTTTAACAATTTATACTTATTATATTTTTATGTTGTAATTTATAATTTTATTAATTTACATCACTTTACAAATATGCAATGTAAAGTTTATTGTTGTCATAGGAGATTAAAACAATTTAAAGTAATTGACAGACTATGTAAAAAAAAAGTAAGTTGTGTTATTTTCATTTGGATCCATTAATATATTTTATTACAATTTTTATAAGTTTAAAGAATCTTTTATTATATTTAATATCATTTTTGAAGAAAAGCGTAAAATTCAGCTAATTTTTCTAGTTTTTATTTCATGTAAAATAATTGTACTTTATTATAATGAAAGAGTTTTTTTTCAAAATAATTTATATTTTAGGTGCTGTTGCTACATATTCTACGGGAAGAATAAATGGAAGTTGGGACAAGTATGGAGAATATTTAATTGCAATAGTATCGATGGGACTAGGATGTATATTAATTGTTCTTTCATCAAATAAATCTTTAAACTGGTCATATGGGTACTACATAATATTCTGTTGTACCTATCAAACTATGTTAACGATTTCCAGGTAAAATAACAAATAAAATTTGAATTACCTGTCAGCGTATTATGTACTCACAATAAACTTGATTATAGTACTTAACTAATATTTCGATTTTATTAATGATATTAATATTGATTCTGCTCTTATGCTAATATTTTATTTTACATTTCTGTTAAATGTTATATTTCTAATAAATTTCTATATATATTATTTCTAATAAATTAATATTAAATTATAATATTAATTTTTAATAAGGTTATATGATTTGCTTATTAATATTAATCTCACATTAATTAAGTTACCTAAAAGTATATTTATTTAAAATTTAACTTTACATAAATGATTTTATAAGCTAAGTAAAACAATAATAAAAGATACTGTAGGCCTTTGCTATTATATAATAATTAATTTTAATACATTTATATAATAGATATTGACATAACTAATGTTGACGTGTAAACATTATTTTCATTCGTCCTATGCCTATAATCAATTAATTAATTTATTTCAAATGTTTATCATTATGATTAGGAAAGAACATAAGTACTTAAAAATTGGTAATAATAAGCTGTTTCGTGTTGACATTAATAATTAATATTATAGTGTTTAAATTTTTTTTTTTAATTTTCCATTCATTTTTATTTTTTTATTTAAATTTGATGATCATTTACATGGGATTCCTCATACTGCTATTTCTTAGTTTAATATTATTTGTAATAATTTTTTATCACCAAATAATAAAAATGCTATTTAATGTGTTCCAATTCATTTTATTAAAAAAAAAAAATAAATATTTTTATAGTTAAAATCAGGAAAAACACAATTAAAACAGTAATAAGTGATTGGTTATGTTAATTAATTAAATAAATAATATATTATTATACGTATATAATTTATATTTTTATGATGACTATAATAAAATTATTTTAAATAAAAAATAAACAAAATGCAATAAGCAACTTGTTTAATATTTAAACCATTAATCGAGTGTATTTTTTATTTCATGAGTTCATTTTTCGTGTATACAGATGAGACTAGTAATGATTTTAATTTACAGTTGTTTTCCAAATATAAATTAAAATATAGCCGAGTCATGGAAAATTGAATCCAATAGAGTATTAAAAAAACAGTTGTCAAGAATTTCCAGTCATTGAGGTTTAAGTTACGTCGTGACATAACTGTATTTAAAAGTGCTGATCATGGAGTGGCAAATTATCTTTTTTTAGTTCACATTAATTTATACAAGTTGAGGGAATGAATAATTAGATACTCTTTCCCTTAAACAGCTGAGTCTTATAAAAGTTAGCTTATAAATTTAAGTCTTATAAAAGTTAAATTTATAAGAAAAAAAAGTTGATTATATGGAATGTTCAAAATTTGAATTAATTTCTTTCCCTTGCTTAATTTTTAGATTAACTGTTGGACTACCAGGAAAGATTTCTTTAAACTTGTTTATGTTGTTCTTTAATTTCCATCAGAAAAAATTACACCCTTAAGGTCAAGTCTGTGTATAAGAAAATATTAATTATTATAAGCCTAATATACAAAATTATTTAGGACTTATATATTAATACATTGCCATACGAATAAATAAATAAATATTAAAACATAAAAAAAAGGTTTTAACGTCTATAATAATAGTATGAAAATATACCTATATTATTTATGCGTTGATAGTCAGGGTTCAAACATAGAGTATATAGAATTTATAAAATGTTAGCGCCCCTTGTTTCTACATAATGATTATTTTTTCTGGTTTTTTCGATAAGTATATGTTTAAACTGTATGTTTTTTTTTTATTAAACGTTTCATTAAAATATTTTTACACTAATATACCAAGTGTAAATAATAAAAAATATGCTTGTATAAATAATAAAAATATTAATAATAATAGTAAATAAAAGTAAAATATTATAATTTTGTATTTTTTAAATTTTAGTGCAGAAATAGCTAAATTTTTAAAACGGGATTGTTATGCGTTAGTATTTGGATTTAACAAATTTATTACATCAATTTTACAAAGTTTTTTTGTTATAGTCATTGTCAAAGATACATTCTTCTCATTTAATATAGAAGAACAGGTAAAATATATTTAAATATTTATAAACATATATCTATTTTATAACCACAAAAATTAAGTATAACTGTATTGATATCCGTTCATATAATAATTGTTTTATTATATATTAAGCATTGATAAATAATAAAAATTATAAATTGTAACACATATAAGCAAACATTTTTACAATTTTATAAATATTTTATAACAATTTATATTAGTTTAATTTTAAGTAATATTAATATTTTTTCAGATTTACTTCTATGGATTATATTTTGCGTTCTTAGGATTTGTGTATATTTTACTGTTCTTATTGGTAATGAAAGGAGTACTAAAGAAAAACATCTTAATAAATACAATTTAAGCATTATTGTGATTTATACAAATATATAAATATGTAAAGTAAGTTGAATAAATAATGAATATTTAAGTCTGTTTACAGATTTCCATATATTTATTTATTTTATAGGTATTATCATAAAGATTAAGATTAAAAAACTTGTCTGTGATTAAAATGAGTTTGACATTGTGTTTAAATCTTTGAATTATTGAAGGAATAGTACATTTAACATTTACTATCTGTGATGACCTTTAAGAATTGCATAGTTTTGTGAAATATTCATATACTATGGGTATGTAAAATAAAATAAAATGTTAGTACTTCAACATCAAATGAAGTAAAAAGTTATAAACAAAAATTAATTTTAAGTCTAAGAATAAGTTAGCATTTAAAAATAGGTTTTAATTTATTTTATTTTATGTTTATTTATTTAAATAGTTGTATTGTATACTGTTTATATTAATGCTAAAAATAAATGTTAGACATACCATTTTTTATAACATTAAGTTAATCATTTAATTTTTCATGTTTAATGGACACAAAATATTTTTTTAATATTAAATTATAAGTTAGATAAGAAAAGTATTCAGGTAATTTCAAGCTTTCAGATACCTTGTAAGTAAATATAATTGTGTATAAAAACAATGTTGTTAATTTCATAATAACATTGTATATAATAGTTCTTATTATTGATATAATATATCATAAATATTATTTAAGATTTTTGTAATCAAATAAAACAAAAGAATGACTAGATCCAAACCTATTTATTTCTATGAATTTCTAAGCTACGAGCTATGCTCGTATTTGAAAAGATCATACTTAAAAATATACACATTTTATAATAAACACATAACATACATCTTAAGATTTATTAATGAATTATTTTTTTATTTTAATATTTTACTGAACAAGAATTTAGAAAATCTACAGGGTTATATTCTACAAAATTTTCTGTTATTTTTATTTTTTGAGTAAATTAATACATTTTTTGGTTTTGAAATGGTATTTACATTTTATCATGATGAATTGTTTGAGTTATAAAAGTAGTATTAAAATTCCTATATAATTAAAAATTAAATAGCTATTTAAAGCCTGTACTTTTCCATTATCTAATGAATTTTTCCAAGTGGAAGAATAAATGAACATTTTTTTTTTCAATTGCACAATAATAGCGAATGTAGTCTTATATTTATATTCCTAATAATTAAATAATTAATGTTGTATTTCAAGGTTTATGAGTTCAATTCAAGGTTATAAGTTATAACTTAGAACAAATGGCAAATGCCAAACACTCGATCTCAGGATTAAGGGTTCACCAACTCATACATTTTGTTATTATTAAACTTACATTTGATATAGCAAGGATTATAAAATTTATAATATTTTAATTTTTACTATTCTTGTTAATAGCTTTTATTAAACCATTCGAATAATTTCCTATAACACTATTGAATAAAAATATTTAAAAAGATTCAATGTGTAAACAAATATATCGAAATATTTAAATGAATAATTAGAGTTTATTTTTCATTTCGTTTATGAGTATTATTTCATCTCATATGCATTTAGTTTATGATAGAGAAAATTAATTCGTCTACTGAACAAGTTTTAACATTGACGCAAAACGTTTCTTTTATTATTTGGCCCTCTTGTATTTTTAATGGTTTTCATTTTTAATTATTGATTATGAAACATGAATATAGCAACGTTTTATACTTAAAACTTATTATTAGTTGTCTTTTTAAATAAATAATTTTACGTTCTAATTATATTTACTTATTTAACTCTACACTAATGACATTAAAATTTGATTATTTTTGACCATATTGTTTCCGATTTAAAAAACATAATTATATTAAAATATAATATAAATCATATACATGTTAAATTTAATTAATTAATGTTATTTTTCTGTAAACAGTCTCGTTTTCGACTCTTAGACCTGGTGAAATACCACGGTTAGATAAGATATAGTTATGGGTGTATATTACTTGAAACCAATGTGCTCAAAAAAACAATTCCAAGTGAAAGAGTAAATCAGTTTATTTATTTTATTTCTATAGTTAGTTTATATAGTAGAAGAATCATATTTTTGAATAAGGTAGGTTAAAATTTTAATGTTTTAATTTTGCTGAAAAAACAAAAGGTAAGCATTTAAAATTTAGGAAAATCAAAAATTTTAAATATTTATAAATTCATAAAAATATTTCGAAACTATAAAATATTTTTAACTAAATAACTATTGTTGATCAATATCAATTCATTAAAGTATCCGATTACAATTTACAAATAACATTTAATTTTGTAACGTTTATAAATCATTATACGACTTTTCAGTTATTTTTTATTTATTTTTTGTTACAAAGAAAACTATATGAAAAATCATGTATCTAATTTTCAAGCCTTATGTTTAAAAATTGAAAATATTATACATTTTTGACTACCAAAATGTAACGGATTTTCGAGGTTTTTTCGTTTTGCTAACATTTTATATACTAAGGTTTGCCATTCGGATGAAAAAAAAAAATTTAAGACTTGTTAATTTTTTTTTCTTCAATCAGTTTTGTTTTTATATATATGTATGAGGGGGAGTTTCCTATTTCGGCCAAAATAATATTGACCGTTTCCGTCATAGCCCTTTTCCGCCAAAAACGAAAAAGGTACGATTCCCGTTTCTGCCAAAAGCCATTTCCACCAAAAAAAGTTTGGAAACCATTGGTTTTAATTTTTAAGCAATATTGAATATATGTTATGGTTAGTATATAGTTATATGTTATGGTATGTGTAAAAGACATTTGTAATGTATACACTGATAACCGTCGATAATAACGGTGCACTGTTCGATATACTGTATCATAGTTTATTTATAATTCGCACACAATAACTATCTGACAAATGTTATATTTCCATTCAATATCTGTTCTTTTTTTCACCAGAACCCTTAAACGTTCTTACTTAATTACCGTTCTTAAAATGGAATTTGTTGTATGTAAAAGAAGTAAAACAATGTTGATTTTTGATAGGTTTAAATATGTTTTTGGTTATAGGTCACAAACAAATGTAATTCAATGGAAATACTTTTTTAAATTTTTTAAAACTTGAAATATACTCGTATTATAATTTATATTTTTTGTGAAATTTTTAAATATTTAAAAATAACGATATGTGTTTTTTCAAAACTCTATCGAGACAATATTTGACCTATCCTGGTTTTTTACATTATAAATAGTTAAATAGAATGGACATATTATAATATGAAATTATGTAATACGAGTATTTTAAAAACTCTAATATAATTTTCCTATATTTGACTAGTATATTATTTATATATTATTATTATTATCTACTTATGTTAAAATTTATAACGAAAGAATATGTAACAATTGTACATGGTTCCCAAACGTCTTATCAAAAAAATTAATTTTGGCGGAAACGGGAATCATACCTTTTTCGTTTCTGGTGATATAGGGCTGTGCGTAAATCAAGGAACCGGATTTTTGGAGGAAAAGGTATATGCCCGTAAGAGGAACTATGTATTACATTTTCAAGACTTTTCAATAAAAATTATTTTATCAGTGCCCTTGAAAAAAAAAATATTAATATTATTAGTTTCTTGTCACTACCTACTGTTACTGTTATTGTTAAATTAATAATTTATTCGTATAATAAAATGTGATCTTTAATTCGCTGTTATTATCTCCATACTTATTTATACTACATCTTAAATTTTATCCATTATATATTATAAGTAAGTGAAACTGTACTCAAAATAATTATCTTGCTAAACGGTTTAAAATCCGTTTATTAAATAAAAATAAATAAATAAATAAATAAATGTATTCTATAAATACTTCAAAAAATTGATATAAGCATTCAGTAAGATATATTGTGTCTACGATGGTTATTTTATAAGTTACGACGAAAAAATAATTCTATTTCATCGAAAACCGGGTGCCATAATTTTGTTTTAATTTAAAAATGTTCTTAAGTTTTCATAATTATTAAAAAAAACTATTGGGAATTTCGTAAAAGGATCCCCTTTTAAGTATTAACTAACTAACATATTTGGCCAGAGATTTCTTATGATTATGATGATCGAAGGAATTATTCTGCTCGAAATTGTGTACAAAAATTAAAGAAAAATATTGCATGATAAATAATATTTATTTATGCAGTTGAATATAAGTAATACATATGTTTATAATTTAGTCGTATACTTTGTAATTGTTAAGTTTTTAATTGTTTTTTTTATTCATTATAACACTTTTGTTATGTGAAAATTCACTACTGGTATTTACCTAACAGTACGTTTTATTGTTATTATGGTTAGTATAGTTAAATATTCATTTAAAAGACCATAATGTCATATGTATGAATGTATAAAATACATTTTTATGAAGTGTTTATAATAAATGATACTATAATTATCATACAGGTTTTGGAAGAAATAGTAGGTGAACATAAAAATAACACATTTTAGGTAATTCATTCAACATCAAAGTATTAAATTATTTCGATTTATTATTCATAATCTTTAAAATTGAAAGACAATTATATAGCACAATTCCTTGCCTAAGTGTTATAAATATTTGGGTTTTCACAAAATCATATGATTTTACAAAAAATGTATATTTTAGACCGCATAGAAAACATATTGAACATTTACAAAATATCATTTTATAATTCGGTTTAAATTTAAATTTTTTACGTTTATAATTTTAAAATGTATATAACATTCAGTTTTAGTTATATAAACGTAATCTTTATTACTATGAAACCAAATATAAACTATTGGCTTACGTCTTCTACGAAAATTCATAGTAAGTCTTAGCACAATAACAATATATTTAAGCAGATAAAGTATAATTTTACAGTAAAAAATGACATAAAATTATGTAACTTTTATGAGACATTATAGAAAATTTAAATACATAAATGTCAAAAATATTGCAACTACTGCAAGTCTGAAACAATACAAAATGTTGATTCAGATAGTGCTTATCTGTAAAGATATTTATGTAGAAGTCAACTATAATTATG